ACACAGACACAAAGAGAGAGAGAGAGAGGAGAGCAATAGGATTAGCAGAGAGCTTCAGTGGGGGCTCGAGCACAGACACAATTGGGAGAGAGCAGGGAATGAGATTGGAGTAGAGAGCCCCGGGGGGGAAGCGAACAGCAGCATAATACAATATTACATTTGTAAAGTGCGTTTCACGTCAGGAGGAAGTCCTAAGGCGCTGAACAGTCAGGGAATAGGACCCGAGTGGTGGTGGGGGAGCAGATGAAGAGAATGTGGAATGGAGTACTATCGCTGATAGTGGGCTGGGCCGGGAAAATGGAGCAGGCCAGAGCCTCCAGAGCAGAGGGAGCAGACATGTTAATAAGGGGTTAGCAGGTCAGAGAGGTAGGATGGGGCAAGGTTGTGGAGGTCCTTGAAGATGAGGACGAGGATTTTGAACTTGATCCTCTGAGAGATGGAGAACCAGTGGAGCCAGGCGAGATTGGGGGTGAGGGGGTCATGGAGTCTGATGCGGGAGAGGACACGAGCTGCAGAGTTTTGGATGATAATATTAATAATAATAATAATAATCCTTGCATTTGATATAGCGCTTTTCACGTCGGGAGGACATCCCAAAGCACTTCACAGAACACACTGTAAAGTGAATTGACTGTATATTTGTGGGCGAACGCGGCAGCCAATTGCGCACAGCAATGTCCCACAAACAGTCGTAGATTGAAAATGACCAATTTATTATTGTTTTTGGTTTTGGAGGATTATTATTAGGCTCTGTGTGGAGTAAGGAAACTTGCCCAAGGTTTCGCCCTCTGCCTGGAATTGAACTCAGGTCTCTCACTTACAAAGCGAGTGCTCTAACCACTGAGCTGCAGGACTCCACAAAGGTAGTGCTTTAAAACCACTCTAGTTGCACCTGTAGCTTGTGATAAGGAAAATGCAGGGCATTCCTCACGCAGAGGAAGTAGAGATACTGGAAGGCAGAGCCACGAGCTCAGGTCGGGCTTGTCCTGCTGAAGACACCATCCCATCACCTGGTGAGGTTCACGTCTGCATTGTCCTTTGACAATTTGGGGCCTAGAAGAGTTTGGGGTGTGGAGGGCCTTGTCTGAAGCAGATAACCCTTGCTCCCGAAGTGGAATGTTTGTATCTAATTGGGTTAATGGGGATGAGCAGGCCTCACCTCGCTCACCAATAACAAACAGCTGGATTACAGCAGAAAAGAACAAGTGCCTTGGGACGTCTTCCTAACACAAGAGACGCTATACACCTATAAATTTGCATTGTCAAAAATCTACCGCTGTGCTCTTGCCTCCGCCAAATCCTCCGTCTACTCCAAGGTTATCTTGGAGACAAAGGACAACTCCAGCTTTCTCTTTTCCACCACTAACCGTCTCCTCCGTCCACCTTCCCATACCTCGCCCATCCTCTCCTCAAACTCCAACTGCAAGGAGATGCTGGACTTCCTTGAATCTAAAACCGAGGGGATACGTTCAGCCACCTCATCCCCGTCCACAGCCACCCCCACATCACCTCTTCCTCATGACCCACCCACCACCCATACTCCCCTATACTCCTTCTCCCACCCCCCCTCCCTCACCAAGACCGTCCACAAACTCAAACCCACCATCTGCCTCCTCGATCCCATCCCCACCTCTCTCCTCATCTCCCAGCTCCACCTTCTAGCCCTTCCCCTGTCCGATGTCATCAATCCCTCCTTATTGGTTCAGTTCCCACCCCCCTAAAAACAGCCGTCATCATCCCCATCTTGAAAAACCTTCCTTGGATCCATCCCTCCTCACCAGCTACCGCGCCATCTCTAACCTCCCATTCCTCTACAAAGGTCCTGGAACGAGTTGTCGCGTCCCAACTCCGCTCCTTTCTCTCTCGCCATTCCCTCTTTGAATCCCTCCAATCCGGCTTCTGCGCTGCCCACAGCACGGAAACAGCCCCGGTCACAGTCACTAATGACATTCTGAACATCTGTGATCAGGGCTCCCACTGCCTCCTTGTCCTCCTCGACCTCTCTGCCGCCTTCGACACTGTCGACCACTCTATGCTCATACACTGTCTCTCTGCCTTACTCAATCTTCGCGGACCTGCCTTTGCCTGGTTCGATTTCTATCTCTCACCGCCTCCACTTTGTTGTCTCTAACGGTTTCTCCTCCAGCCCCCGCACTGTCACGTCTGGCGCCCCCCAGGGCTCTGTCCTTGTCTCCTCTTTAATATCTACATTCTCCCCCTCGGTGACATCATCCGCAGACATGGGGTCAACTTCCACATGTATGTGGATGACACCCAACTCTACCTCTCTGCCCCCACCCTCAACTCCAGGACCACTGCTGTTCTGACAGACTGTCTGTCGGACATCAAGTCCTGGATGAGGGCAAATTTCCTACAGTTGAATGTGAACAACACTGAGGCCCTCCTGTTTGGCCCTCAGCACCTCAGGCTCCGGCACCATCACCCTCCATGGTTGCACACGCCAGCCAGTCAGGAACCTGGGTGTCTTGTTCGAGTCTCAACTGTCTTTTCTCCCCCACATTCAAGCCATGACCCGCTCTGCCTTCCCTCACCTCCGTAACATCGCCCGACTCCACCACTCCCTCACCCCTCAGGCACTGAAACTCTTGTTCGTGCCTTCATCACCTCCAGGCTCGACTGTGCAAACCCCCTGCGTGTCGACCTTCCCAACTCCTCCCTCCACAGGCTGCAGATAATCCAGAACTCTGCCGCCCGTGTCCTCTCCCGCACCAAACTCCGTGACCCCATCTCCCCCACTCTCGCCCGACTCCATTGGCTCTCTATCCTTCAGAGGATCCAGTTCAAGATCCTGGTCCTCACCTACAAAGCCCTCCATGGCCTCGCCCCACCCTACCTCTGTGACCTCCTCACCCCCCGCCCCCCGCCCGCTCCCCCCGCCCGCTCCCCCCGCTCGGCGGCTCCGGCTGCTCCACGTTTATCTCTCGCTTTGAAACCCCGACAGTTGCCGTCACAGACACAAATACCAGGGACGCAATTGAGCCAATTTACCAGAACAGACAAGTGCACCAGTGTTTACTTGTCAGCGAAAGCAAACCAAGGGGAGGGGAAGGGGGGGGGGTCACGCACGTGGTTAGCACGTGGCCTGGCTGTGGGGGGGGACACTGTGAGGGGGTGTATCACTGGGCTGGTGGGGGGCGCCAGCGCCAGCGCCACCTGTAGTCGGCAGCGGGAAGCGCGGCCTCTCTCCCCTCAGTCAGTGACTGACATGGAGTCACGGCTCCCGCCTCTCACAGTCACAGAGCGGGAGAGAGAGAGAGAGAGAGACGCCCACAACACCACACACTCTCTCCCCTCCCTCCCCCTCTCCCTCTCTCTCTCAGCGCCCTGTTTGCTGTCACAGCTCTTACCAGACAGGGCTCCCTCCCTCCCGCTCCTCTCGCGGCCACGCTTCAGCTGCCCCTCACTCGCACGCCGCGCCGCCGCGCCGGCCGGGGCCCGAGACCAATCAGGATGCCGGATGGGACGGGGGTGCCCGACCCTCACCAACATGGCGGCCGCGCACAGCCGACCAATCGCAGCACGCGCCGCGCCGCGCCGCGCCCCGCAACAACATGGAGAACCGCGCACAGCCGACCAATCGCAGCCCGCGCCGCGCCGCGCCGCGCCCCGCACCAACATGGCGGCCGCGCACAGCCGACCAATCGCAGCCCGCGCCGCGCCCCGCACCAACATGGCGGCCGCGCACAGCCGACCAATCGCAGCCCGCGCCGCGCCCCGCACCAACATGGCGGCCGCCGACCACTTCCATCCGGTCAACATGGGCCGCGGCCCTGTCACCCCCTCCCCCGCGGGCACAGTCACCTCTGCCCCCCAACCCCCCCTCCCCCACCACCACCACCACCCCCCCCCGAGCCTCAAAGCTGCGGCTACAGGTTTGCTGCTGAAATGGGGCAATTTTATTTCAACATAAAAGCGGGAGAAGGCCACTCAGGCCTGAACCCCCATTCCATGGTATTATCTGCTCCTCAACCCCAGTTACCCGCCCTTTTCCCTGTACCCCCCGATGTCCTGACCTGACCCACGTCCACCCACCCCAGTCTTGAAGATGTGACTGTCGCCGCCTTTCGCGTAGCGACACCGCGTCGAAAGCCTGACCAAGGCCCCAGTTGCCGGGCGGCCCACCGGACGCGGGGGAACGAGGGGGCACACGGCCCACGTGGGGACCGCGTGCGGGCGGCTGGGGGTCACACTGGGAAACCTCGGCTCACGCTGGGGGGTCACAGAGCCACCGAATCGCACTACGGCTGTCGACTCAGAATCAACAGCAACGAGATCACATGTGCACAGCGCCTTTCGCGTCGGGAGGACCTCCCGAGGGGCTGGACAGGGTACAGCATTTCAGACCCGAGCTGGGGTCAGGGGGAGAGAAGGGAGGGGAAGAAGGGTGGCCGATGGCATGGTCGAAGAGGAGGGTCTTGAGATGGGACTTGAAGGAGGCTAAGGAGGGGGTGAGGCAGAGTGACTGGGGGATGGAACTCCAGAGGTTGGGGGCAGAGCGGCTGAAGGCTCTCCAGCCGATAGTGGGTCGGGGGACATGGAGCAGCCGGAGCCGGCTGAGCGGAGGGAGCGTGCGGGTTGGTAGGGGGTTAGGAGGTCACAGAGGTAGGGTGGGACGAGGCCATGGAGGTCTTTGTTGGTGAGGACCAGGATCTTGAACTGGATCCTCTGAAGGAAAGGGAAAGGGCGTGAGTGGGGGAGGTGGGGTCACGGAGTTTGGTGCAGGAGAGGACATGAGTTCTGGATTATCTGCAGCCTGTGGATGGAGGAGTTGGGAAGGCCGACAAGCAGGTGGTTTGCACAGTCGAGCCTGGAGGGGTGAGGTAGTGGCAGAGTCGGGCAATGTTACGGATGTGAGGGAAGGCAGAGCGGGTCATGGCTTGGATGTGGGGAACAAAAAGGCAGTTGAGGGTCGAACAAGACACCCAGGTTCCTGACTGGCTGGTGAGTTGAAGTGTGCAACCATGAAGGTTGATGCTGCCAGAGCCTGAGGTCCAGAGACGTTGGCACGAGCCAATCAGGAGGTTGTCAGAATTGCACATAAAAATGGCCATCGACTCAAGGTGCGCTCACCGAGCCTTCACACACCACATAACACCTCTCCTCGTTAAATGTTATCGTAGAATTATACAGCACAGAAGGAAGCCAACCGGCCATACTGTCTGTGCTGGCTCTTTGAAAAGAGCTTCCAAATCAATCCCACTCCCCCGCTCTCTTTCCCTATAGTCCTGTAGCTCAGTGGTTAGAGCACTCGCTTTGCAAGTTAGAGACCTGAGTTCAATTCCAGGCAGAGGGCGAAACCTTGGGCAAGTTTCCTTACTCCACACAGAGCCTAATAATAATCCCTCCAAAACCCAAAACAATAATAAATTGGTCATTTTTAATCTACGACCGTTTGTGGGACATTGCTGTGCGCAATTGGCTGCCGCGTTCGCCCACAAATATACGGTCAATTCACTTTACAGTGTGTTCTGTGAAGTGCTTTGGGACGTCCTCCCGACGTGAAAAGCGCTATATCAAATGCAAGGATTATTATTATTATTATAGCCCTGCAAACTAGTCCTCCCCAAATAATTATTTACTTCTCTCTTAATGTACCATGGCTCCTGGTACATTAAGACATACAAACATTTGTGTTTACTTATTGTTACAGCGGTGTAAGGTTATAATTGTCTAATGTTGCTTTTAGATTGCAAATCAAAAAATCAAAAGAGGATGCCACTAGGTATTTTAAATTTATGAAGAATTTTCCCTGTTACTATTTGTACAAAAAGCAATTAATCTGAGTCCAGATAAACACATGGTCCCACATAATAATCTTTGCGTTTGATATAATATATAATATGGCGCTTTATCACGTCACAAAGCACTTCACAGAATATATATTTTATTGGCAAAATATCGCTGCCTTCTACAGTACATCAAGAACATCATTGCTGTCCTCTCCTCCTTCCTCCTCCCCTCCCCAGAGAGATCGCTGGTGATCGGCCACGTGCGAGTGAGGATGGGTCTGATTGGCGGAGAAGAGCATTTTCAGCTCAGAGCTACGTGCCTCGAGCTCCAGGAGGTGAGTGTACTCTGGTTATATGAATAGTTTGGATAACTAAATAATTTTCACTTTCAATTTAAGATTCAATTAACAGAATTTTACTGTCTAACATTAAGCAGACACGACTTTATTTCCTGAGCACCAAGGTACCTTTAATTTGCAGTTCGAACAGACACAATGTTAAACTCCACAACTGGGATTTGATTGAAAGTGGTTTGCTCACCGCTGCCTCATGCTCACACTCTCAACTTGCCTGAAAAAACACCACTTTAATTTTTTTTATCTGCAACCAAACACTCCCACTCTGGATGGAACTCTTAAGCACGGCAATGGGTTTCCGCGTGTGTCAGACACCTGGCTGGCCAAAAACTATCTGGGGATTCTAGGCCAGGACACCAGGAGAAATTCCTTTCTCATTTACCAATAGTACTACCTGAATAAATGGGACCTTCGTTGAATGTCTTGTCCAAAGATAAATGAGTTAATTGTCTTATAGCTGACCTGGATGAGAGCTAACTTTCTACAGTTTAATGTCAACGACACTGAGGCTCTGTTGATTGGTTCCCATTAACGGCGCCACACCTCAAGCGCTAGCTTGCATCCATGGATGCACACTCCACCTCACTGAGTCAGTCCAGAACCTTGGCATCTTGTTTGACCCTCAACTGTTCTTTCTACCCCACATCTGTGCCATGACCCGCTCTGCCTTCCCCCACCTCAGCAACGTCGCCCTGTTCCGCCACTGTCTCACCCCTCAGGCCGCCGAAACCCTTTTCACGTGTTCATCACACTTAGGCTTGTCTACACCAACTTTCTGTTGTTGGCCTTCCCAACTCTTCCCTCCACAAACTGCAGATAATCCAGAACTCTGCAGTTTGCATAATCTCCCGCATCAGGCTCCATGACCCCATCACCCCCACTCTCACCCAGCTCCACTGGCTCTGCATCCCTCATCCTCACCATCAAGACCCTCCATGGCTTTGCCCCTTCCTATTTCTGTGACTTGCTAACCCCTTATCCGCTCCCTTTGCTCAGTAGGCTCCGGCCTGCTCCGCATTCTCTGCCCGACCTGTCCTACCATCAGCAGTTGGACCTTCAGTGTCTCTGCCCCCACTCTCTGGAACTCCATCCCATTCCCTTCACCTCCCTCACTCCCTTGTCTCCTTTAAGTCCCGTCTCAAGACCCTTCTCTTTGACCGTGTCTTTGGCCACCCTCCTTTGCCCTCCACCCTTCCTCATCCAAACCCCCCCCTACTTCCCCCCCCCCCCCCACCCTCCCCCGCACTCGGGTCCACATACCTGACTGTCCAGCGCCTTGGGACATCCTCCCCAATGTGAAAGCCACTTTACAAATGTAATTTTGTATTGTATTGTATTATTGCTGTCTTTGAGACATTGCTGTGTACAAATTGGCCATGACTTTTGCCTAGGTTAAAAAAGCGCTCCGCCTGATGGAAAATACTGTAAAGTGCTTTTAGATTATTTGATAGAAGCCGCTATATAAATGCAAATTTCTTAAATAAATATGTTTTGTGCTGGAGAATTGCATTTTACTGCACAAGGAAAAGTGCACTTTTACAGGCAGGCCTTTTCACGCAGTAAAGATCTCAAAGAATTTCACAGAGGAGACAGGGAGGGTCAGAGGGAGGTGACTGAAGTCTTAGACATATTTGAGATAGGTTTTTAGAAGAATTTTAAAAATGGAGATGGTGGGTACAGGGAGGAGGGAATTACAGAGCGAGTTGCAGAGAGTGGGAGCAAAGTGGCAAAGGGTTGCAGGTCGCCCAGTCATAGTGGGTCAGGGGACGTTGAGCAGGCCAGTTGGCAGAGAAGGGGAGGGGGAAGAGGAGGATCATGGAAATATATCTTTACCCAGAGGATAATTAATAACTGAGTTAGCATTCCAGGATACTGGGACTTTTTTGAAAATGGGAGGACGGGTGGGCGAGGATTATTATCACCATAAAATAATAATAATCATTGTATTTGCTGCAGCACCTTATCATGTTGACAAAGAGCTTCACAGGATTTACTGAAAAGTGTAGCAACTGTATTTGTGGCAGCCGATTTGCATATAGCAGTAACCCACAAACAGCCATGAAATAAATGAGTGACAAAAGTTTATTTTGGTGGGGGGGATTGTTGGCCAGGACACCGAGAGAGTGTGAAACTCTTTCTTGAAGGATGAGATTGAAATGAACTCTCTTCACCGAAGCAATCTTGTGATTGTGTGTGAAGGCTGGAGGGATCATCAGGTCTGTTTTTCATTTGTTAAAGTTGCAAAACAAATGTTTGAAAGAACAGGTAAATAGACCTTTAAACATGGGAATTAGATTGTGAAATTACGTTCTGCTCCAGCCATTAAGTATTTCAGTGGGTTTTTATTGTAAGTAATTAAATGAATCATTGAGTAAATCACTGATTTTTACAACGCAAGCAGGAGTCTTTGCATCACAGATAAGCAAAAGTATTTCCTGTTACATTCAGGGGGGTGTCATGTGTCAAACCTGACTTTGGTGACAGGGTTCTTGCCTCTAAACTAAAGGGGGTTTGATCTCACACTCCAGACTGAGGTTCATGTGCAGTACAGGAGGGGAGCACTGCATTGTTGGAGGTACTGTTTCTCAGATGAGATGTTAAATCGAGGTCCCACCTGCCAGCTCAGGTGGATATTAAAGGTAATAATCCTTATAACAACTACAACTTACAGTTACGCAGCACCTTTCACATCGGGAAGACGTCCCAAGGCGCTAGATAGTCAAGGATTTGCACCTGAGCTGGGGGTTGGGATCAGAGTGAGGTGGGGACAGGGAGGGTGGAGGAGGGAAAATGACCGAAGACATGGTCATGAAACGGGCCTTGAAGGAGACAAGGGAGAGGATGAGGAGGAGAGGCTACGGGATGGAGTTCCAGAGGGTGGGGATAGAAAAGCTGAAGGCCCGACCACCGATGTTGAAGCAGGCAAGACAGGAGACATGGAACAGGCCAGTGCCTGCAGAGTGGAGGGAGCGAGCAAGTTGGTAAAGTTTTTATAGGTTGCAGAGGTAGGGTGGAACAAGACCGTGGATGGCTTTGAAGGCCAGGACAAGGTGGGGCTTGAATATTGTCTGTACCACTTCTGAAATAAAGTATTGAGAAAATCCACAGAACAACATTTGATACAGTGCCTTTTTACGTTGGGAGGGTGTCTCAAAGGATTTACTGTAATGTGTAGTGACTGTTTTGTAGATGAGCTTGGCAGTCAGTTTGCACACAAAAGTGTTGTATAACCATGCATGAAGTGAGTGACCAATTGTATTTAGCCAGAACACCAAACTCTCTTCTTCACCAAAAGTGCCATGGAACCTTTAACATCCACCTGAACATACACAGATGGGACCTCGGTTTAATTTCTTATCCCGTATACAGCAGGTCCACTTGTCTGGTTTAACTGCACGTCACTACACTTGACAGCAGTGAAATGTGAAGCTCTGAGGCATTTTGACATGGCAGGCACTCTGCCAAAGTAAGATGTACAGTACACTTATCACTGGCAGTCGAAGGGTTAAGTGAGGACAGGCGGGGCTTGAATACTGTGTACCACCTCTGAAACAAAGCACAGGAATTGAGAAAACCCACAGAACAAAATTAATCAGTCCAAAATCACCACCCGAAGGTTAGAGGATGATACTGTGGATTGCGCTGTCTGCATTCTTAGCGACCGCCCAAGTCGCATGTAAGTACCTTACTATGTAATTTTCCTTGCATTTGACATAATACCTTATCTTGTTGTCGAGATATCAAAACATTTCCCAGGATTTTACTGTAAAGTGTAGTGACTGTATATTTTTAGAGGAATGCAGCAACCTTTTTGCACACAGCAATGTCTCACAAATAACCCTGAAGTGAATGATTTATTTCTGGGGGATTGTTGGCCAAGAGAAACTCCCTTCTGGGTTTGGGATCTTTATCGCCCACCTGAACAGGCAGATGGGACATTGGTTTGATGTCTCATTCGAAGGACAGCACTTCTGACAATGCAGCGCTGCACTCGAGTGTCAGTCAGCCTAGTCCTGACATGGGGCTTGAACTCACAACTTTCTGACTCATTGCCAAGAAAGTTATTTGAGGTTTACTTGAGTATAAAGACCTATTGTCTTATTGGAAAATAAAGGACTTGCACTTTACTCTGCCCTATCTCTCAAACTGCTTCACATTTATTACACTCACAGTAATTACAGGAACTACAGTAATTCACAGTAATTGCTGTTATGTGTAGTGACTATGTATTTGTGCAATACAACAGTACAATACAAAATTGAATTTGTAAAGCTTTGTTTGCAAAACTTCGGGAGGACATTCCAAAGTGCTGAGCAGTCAGGGATTAGGACCCAAGCCAGGGGTGGGGGTGAGTGGGATCAGGGAGGGTGGAGGGCAAGGGGTGGAGCTAGGAGGGTAGCCGGAGGGTCTTGAGGCATGCCTTGAAAGAGACAAGGGAGGCAGCGAGGGATGGGTATCCAGTAGAGCTGGGCGAGGGTGGGTGTGAAGAGGTCACGGAACCTGTTGCGGGAGAGAACACAAGCTGCAGCGTTCTGGATGATCTGCAGCTTGTGAGGGAAGAGTTGGGAAGGCCGACAAGCAGGAAGTTGGCAATAGTCAACCTGGTTGTAATGAAGTTATGTATGAGAGTTTTGGGGCCTGAGGGGTGAGGCAGTGATGGAGTTGGGAAATGTCATGAAGGTGGGGGAAGGCAGAGCGGTCATGGTCCGGATGTGGGGGAGAAAGGACAAGACACCAAGGTTCCTGGTGAGGTGGAATGTGCATCCATGGATGTTCATGCTGCCAGTGTCTGAGATTTGGAGGTGACGGTGCGAGCCAATCAGAAGAGCCTCAATCTTGCTGACGTTCAACTGTAAAAAGTTAGCTCTCATCCAAGACTTGATGTCAGACAGGCAGGACATCAGTGGTTCTGGGGTCGAGGATGGAGACAGAGAGAAAGAGTTGGGTGTCATCTGCGTACATGTGGAAGTTGACCCCAT